CTCAAGAAGATTGTCACATGTCAGCCAAGGCTAAACATGTGAGGCAAAATTCATGCTCTCTGGGCCTCTGGTGTCCAGTTGAAAATAGAGAGGTCGCAGGGTAAAAGACAGTTCCCAAAGTATTTCCTGTAGGACATTAAATGAATGGGGTAAATAAGGACATTGATCTTGAGGAGAAGCCGTTGATCCTGACACTGTTGGCCCAAACTGCATCGCTTCTTTTAGTCTGTTATTCTTGCCTTAGTCTGGGGGAGGAGGGTAGTTTTTGTTCTGTTTTGTTTTTAAACATTGGTCAGAGTCGGATCTGGCTCTGACTGCAGGCCTGCCTAGGGCTGCCCAGGTACCCTCAGGCCGTTGCCCCCATGTAGATCCCACCTGGGTGTTAGCTCACCTGGTCCCTCCCGTCCTCAGCAGTCTCTATAGGAACACACCTACACACCCTCTTCCTGTCCTGGCCTTTTTGGGTGTTTATTTTAATACACTGATCATATTGTATTTTCTGTAAGTTAATTTGGAATGATGCCAGTAGTTTTATATCTGAGTTTTCATTTCTTTCCTACTTCATTGTTTTAAAAGTAAAGACGGATAGGGGAGGGTGTAGCTCAAGTGGTAGAGCGCGTGCTTAGCATCCACAAGGTCCTGGGTTCAATCCCCAGTACCTCCTCTACAAAAAATAATAAAAATAAATAAACCTAATTCTCATCCAAAAACAAAAAATTAATTTTTTAAAAATAAAATAAAGACAAGTAGTCATTGTCTTAGGTGAAAAGGAAATGAGGAAAGAATATGATCATATATTGGAAAGAGAGGCTGGTCAGTGACACAGCGCACATCAGTGGCCTCGTTGTGCTCCAAAACCAGACAGCAGGATCCAGTTTAGAGAGGCCGCGGGTCTCGGAGAGTTGTGGGGGTGGGGGTTGAGGGGTCCAGCTGCAGAGCCTGGGTTTGTAGCATCCCAGGAGCTCCTGCTTGCAGAGGATTCTCTCTGCTCCCTTAAGCCTGATCTTAATTTTGTGTTAAATGTTTCATTATCATGTCCTAAGTTTGGGCTTAAATTTTTTTTAACGGAATAAGACAATCAGATTAGGCACAAATCATGATTCCAGATTTCCATTGATTTCAGCTTCCAGCTTTGTGATTTCTGCAAAGTCTCCTGTAACTCAAGATTCTCATTTGCAGTAGAGCTTTCCTTATATCATACCTGAAAAATGTCTTCACTAGAAACAAATATGATTATAATTTGAGTTTTCCTGTTTTGTGACTTTTGTGTGGTAGATAAAGGAAATCCAAATTATAAAGTTAAATCCTTGGTGCACTAAAAGAATATGATTTTTTTCTTAATTATCAAACATTTGTGTGAATATCCTAGTTTTGAATAAGAGAGACATTTCTCTTTTTGCCATCTGTGAATAAAAACATTGTTACTCGGAGAAGGGAGTAGTGCTTGAACTCCAAGCACTAATTGTAAAACAGTGTGTATTTTAGAAGACTACTAATGACATTTTAAAACTTCATTCTTGTATTAAATCAATTTATTCTCTCCCCTAAACTTTTATTTCCTTTTAAGGCAAAACTAGAGAAAACTTGTCTTTTCAGTGGTAATTTTTTCCCCTGAAGTATTTTGTAACTTATTTTTTAATATAAGTCTTGAAGTAGAATTCTTAGTTGTTAACTTGCAGATTTTAATTGTTCAACCAACTTAGCTGTTTCAGTTGAGCAGTGACATAAGTTTGAAAATAATTATAATACTTTATAAATACACGCATTTGGCTTTTTACATCTTGTATTTCTCATATATCTGGTACATGCAAACAAAAATCTGAATACTCCAGTATGTTTATTTTTATCATAACTTTTCATTGTATAAAAATCTAATTTTTTGAAATTGAAATGTAGTTGATTTACAATGTTGTGTTTCTGGTGTACAGCATAGTGATTCAGTTATGTTTATGTATATATTCTTTTTCATTATAGGTCATTGGAAGATACTGAATGGGGAGGGAATAGCTCAGTGGTAGAGTGCGTGCTTAGCATGCACGAGGTCTCAGGTTCAATCCCCAGTACCTTCATTAAATAAATAAACCTAATTGCCTCCCCAAAAAATAGAAATAAAATACTGAATGTGGTTCCTTGTGCTATACAATAGGACCTTGTTTATTTATTTTATATATAGTAGTTGTATCTGCTAATCACACACTCCTAATTTGTCCCCTCCTTTCCCCTTCGGTGACCGTAGTTTGTTTTCTATGTCTGTGAGTCTGTTTCTGTTTTGTAAATAAGTTAATTTGTGTCATTTTTTTAGATTCCACATAGAAGTGATGTCAGATGATATTTGCCTTTGTCTGACTGACTTCACTCAGTATGATAATCTCTGGGTCCATCCATGTGGCAAATGGCATAAAATCTTAATTCTTAATTACCAGATTAGCTCTATAAGCCATCTTACAGTTAAATTGAATTGGTTAGTTTTCCTAAGTAAGAATAGTTTGATTCAGAAATCAGACTGGGAACTTAGTGCATGCGTGCTTGCTTGCTTCCTTCCTTCCTTCTTTCTCTCCCTTTCCTTCCTTTCTTTATTTCCTTCCTCTCTTTCCTTCCTTCCTTCCTTCCTTCCTTCCTTCCTTTCTTCCTTTCTTTCTTTCCTTAATTTATTCTGTGTTCTAACCAGAGAGCCTCAGGGGATAAAGTTCCTTTTCCCATTGTCATTTTGGCAAGGACTCCCAATAAGCCAGTTGCCACGAGGCAGTTCACATTGGGTAACAGCACTGTTTTCCATGTAAATATAGTGACTGCAGCCTGCTTTCTCAGTAGGTTTGGGGAATTACAAGTTTGATGAAGGGGAGGGTGTAGCTAGGTGGTAGAGTGTGAGCATGTATGAGGTCCTAGGTTTAATCCCCAGTCCCTCCATTAAAAATAAATCTAATTACCCCGATAAAAAAGAAATTATTTTAAAAAAAAGTTTGGTGGGCTGGGTCTGTACATCCCAGCAAGCCAGTAGAGTGATGAAATCAGGAGGAGGAGGGTGGGAGTCCACAGACAGGGCTTTCACAGACAGGACATCAGGGGCAGAGGGGGCAGGAGAGTGGCCCTTGACGTGGGTGGGCCGTGCTGCCCTGGCACTGTATGAGGGGCAGGGATGGGTGCAGGCTGGCTCTGGACCCCCGCTCCACGGTGACCAATCTGTGTCCTCGGGGAGGGTGCCAGCCTACCTTCAGGGGGTTGGTGTGTGGAGGACCCAGGGTGAAAGTGTGTCTGAAAGAGTCCTGCATGTGGGACCCTCTGAAAACACGGCCACACGGGCCGGTTCCTGCCTCTTGGTGTCCACCGAGTTAGAGACCTAGGGCCCACTGCTCCTCCACCCCGCTGGAGCCTGTCCCCCAGCTCTCCACAGCCTGAGCCCTCTCCACGAGGCACGTCAGGACCAACTCACCAGGTGTGCAGACTTGGTGGGCGGTGACACAACGTGAAGTTGTCTGCATCCCACCCACACGTCCATAGTGGTGCTCAGGGTCACGTCGGCCACATGTCTTCAAACCCCTATAAAGGGGATTATTCTGGTTTTCTTACAAATGGCTCATCTCGTGTTTGAGGTGTGTTAGAGTCTGGAGTTGGGTTCTCCATTTGTGGAGCTTTTCCTCATTTTAGACACCTTCAGTTTATTTAAACAAGATTACTGGGTTTGTGCGTTTCTGCTGAGCCCTAGACATCTTATGAAGTAATTCAAATGAGTGTTTCAGCGACAGCGTCCCTCGCCTGGGTCCGCTTCAGAAAACACTCCTCCTTTTCCTCAGAGTGCAGTGGTCCACCTGGTGACCAGGAGGGGCAAGTGTGACTGCCCCAGGCCCAGGAGCTCCGGGGAGTTGGAGGGTGGGGTGAGGGTGCTGTCTTCACAACAGTGGTATGTCCCTTGGGCTCAGTGCTGTGTGCCCTGGGCTCCTCAAGCCGCCCTGGTGGCTCTGGGATCCTGGGTCACTCAGGTCAGCTGTCACCTTGCTAGCCCAAGCTGTAGCAGGAAGTGCTTTTTCCAAATGAAATATTGCGTGGAACCCCAATGTATTTCAGATTAAAAGGTTTTCAATATAAAAGATATTTTTAAAGTTGAGATTTACAAGAATTACTTTAAAAGGCATGGGGGAGCAGTCAGCTGTTGTCATGGGAAGAAAATGTTGGAAATAACATAAGTGATAGATACAGTCTTGTGTTAACCCCCAGCATCCAGCTCATTTCTGAATGTACTTCGTTACAGGTGGTGAGAGGGGTCTCTTACCCTTTCCCTTGCCGTCAGGGAGCCTTCAGTCAGACGGGCTGGGCAGAAGGGTTATTCTGAGGAGAGTGGCCACAGAGGCTGCTCGCAGGGCAGCACGCTTGACTGTGCTTTCAATTAGAACTGTTGTACAAGTTTAATAAATTGGGGTCCCTGTCTGACATTTGTTGGACCCTTAAAACACCTCTTTAGAGTTCTGTTGGTCTCCAGGCAATTTGAAAACCACGCCCAAGTTAGAATCCCTGCCCCTCCTCGGTGAGTGGAGGCAGCCTTAACCAGTACCTGTCCTCTGGCAGCGGGTGAATTCCTACTACCTTGTGGTTCAGAGTCAGCCCAAAAAGATGCTCAGAACTGGGCTTCCTTCCCCCACGGACTGCCCTGCAGAGGGAACACCAGGCCAGGGAGGCGGCTGAATGTGTATGGCCATGCTGGCACTTTTCTGATGCACCTTTCTGTGTGAGTGAACTACTCCCGTGAGCCAGGTGTTCATTCTGTCCCATACAAGTCAGTAGCCAGTTCGGAAAAAGGAAGAGCTGCGCTCTGCTCAGAAGCTGAGCAGTACCTGGGCGTGTGGGTGGTGCTGTGTGTCTTTGGCATGGCCAGAGTCTAGGTTTGAGCACTGAGAAAAGTGAGTGAGTCCTAAGAACAAAAGGTGTCGGTTCCTCTGCGTGGGACAGTTTGTGTGATTTAGTTTTCGGAGAAATTGGTGACTTTGCCTTCTTCCTCCCCCTTCCAGGTTGGTGACATCGTCAAGGTCACGCGGATGAACATCAACGGCCAGTGGGAGGGCGAGGTGAATGGGCGCAAGGGGCTCTTCCCCTTCACGCACGTCAAGATCATCGACCCTCAGAACCCAGACGAGAACGAGTGATGGCTGCTGCCCTGTGCTTGCTGCTCGGTCGTCCTGCGCGGAGTGTCTCCTTCGACGTGGGAGAGCGTCCTCTGGGCAGGTCACACGCGCTGCCGACGTCCAGCTCCTGCAGTGGGCAGTCTCACACACATTGGAATGCTCTCAGTGGCTGCCCGGCATTTGTATCATAGTCGTGTTGTCAAAGAGTAGCCGACCTTAGAGTTCTTTGGATCATAAACTGGAAACCCTGGTGGAGGCACACACGTGGGGGACTTGGTGGGGCTGGGGCTTCCTTCTGGTCAGTGCCCTGCCTGTCCCAAGGCCTGACTGCGGGTCCCAGGGAGCTTGAGCCCACACAAGACGTTGCTGGCTGTGAGCGCAGAGCCAGGCCAGCCGCCAGTGTGGTTTTCCTGGAAGAGCAGAGGAAGTGAACCTTAAAGAAGAGGGAATTCTGCCCTAGACTCCCCAAATCTGGCTTTTCTTTTTTTCTTTCTTTCCTTTTTTCTTTGTTGCTTGGTTTGGTTTTGGAAGACTTAATTAATGAGACCTGTGTGTTCTGAGCAGGTTTTTAAGTAGCAGATTAGGTTTTTGTGATGTTATAAGGGGTGGCCTGTGCCTCTGAGCCTCTCACCTGGAGTCGCCACGACTAGAGCACGAGAGAAGCAGCCCTGAAGAGGGCCTGTACCGCCCAGATCACAGACGACAGCAACAGAGACCGGCTGTGTGCGCAGCTCTTGGATTGCGTTGTCCCCAGAGGCTCCAGGGCCAGGATGACTTGCCTTGTTGGCCAGTGACATGCGGAGCACGGGGCCGGCGCTCTGTCCAGCCTTTCAGTGAATGCAGCCCTTTGCAGTATAGGACCTCGGGTTCTTTGCATTGGAGGTAAAGTGAATCTTCCAGTTCCGCTTACTGAGGCCCAGTCCTCAGGCTCACCAGGTTCCCTTGGAGACACTGCTGCCACTGCTTCTGGTCCCTGAGCCCGCAGCTCTTGCAGGAAAAGGAAACTGGTTGACGCATTTGGTGTCTGTTGTTTTCCACGTCACGTGCATCATTAACCATTTACCAACATGGTGTTAACAGTTTCCCTGTTGGCTGAACGAGGCCTAATCACACCAGCCGGCTGGTGCAAGTGTGTGATCGGGCCTGCGTCCGCAGCACAGAGCAGACTAGAGTTCTGGAACTCCTCCCTCCTGGACACTGGTGAAGACAGGCCTCAGCTCAGAATGAGTGTAGCAGACCTAGACGTGTAGCAGCAACCTAATAATTAGTAACTGTCACTCAGCATTGGCTGTAACCGCGTTCTGGCTCCCAGGGGTCTTAGGGTTTAGGATTAGAGCAATTATTCTGGTGATAGAACCAGCAGGACAACCAGTTTTCAATTTCTCCCTTTATTTTAATTGAACTGTAATTGATTCCCAACGTTGTTTCAACGTTGAGTTTCTCTTTAATCAGATGTTCCATCACATAGGTCACCACATTAAAGAGCCTTGAGAGTGTTCTGTGACAAAGTCAGTGGTCAGTTGGAAAAAATATCCCTGTCCGTCTGCAGTTTTCCTGAAAGAGGCTCCTCCACAGGCTCTTCCTGACTAGTGAGAACCGTACCACCTCCTGTTGCAAGAGTGCCCCGCAACGAGGGGCACGTGTGTTGTGGGGCCACACCGTGCCTGGAAGCACCGCTCGCCCTGGTGCCTGTGGCCCACTACCCTAGGGCCCCTTGCGGCTGCGGAGCACGTCCCTGCCCAGAGTACCGACCCAGGCCTGAGAGCCACATCCAGCTGAGTGACTTGGGCCTTTCAAGGACAGCAGTCAGCTTTGAGTACGAGGGGTTTCTGGCTGTTTTGGAAAGCAGGGCTTCCTTTCAGCCACGTCTGCTCGACGGTCAGTAGCAGGACCTGGCCCACATGGGTCACTTCAGAATCAGACCTCCGCACATCCAGGCTGGCTCCGTGCAGCTCTGCACAGTGCCTCAGTCATGCACCCCTCGAGGACGCCCAGGAGATGAGATCGGAGCCTGGAGGAGGGGAGCCTCAACTCCCGAGTTCTCCAGACGTGTGCCAAAACTGGCACCTTTCTGACTCAGAACCTTACTAGTTTCTAATGAGGCGGGGAAGTTCTTCTTTTCACACTAAATATACAAAAAGCAGTACCCCGCCCCGGCTTGGGCCCGGACTCCCTGGCCGTCTGGGAAGCCTGCTTCAGGGAGTGCTTTGAAGCCCCAGGGGCACCACCTACCTGCCTGGGGGGCTGCCTCTCTGGGGCTGTTCATTACTACTTGCTCTGCTCACTGTGTCACTCAAGAGCATACATGGGTGTTAAATTAACTCGGGAAGAGAGCGGATCATGTACTGAAGGGCATTGATAGTCTAACGGGAAACTTACCTATGCTGGGAAGGATCTCTGACCCAGGAGTCTTCCTTGTCACCTCTGCCCGGGCAGGGCCACCTGACGAAAGTTACTCAAGAGGAGGATTCGTGGGCTGGCTGCCACCTGATGACTGTCACCCAGACAGATGCCTCCTGTGCTTGTGGTCGGGAGCCCGCAGGGAGGGCGGGGCAGCTGCCCACTGGGAGCCCGAGTGCCCAGCCCCACACTGGCTTCTCCTGCAGCTGTTTACAGGCAAGGCGGGCCAGGACCCACGGCCACTGCTCTTGTGGTGTTTGCTCAGAGGAACATGAACATTTTATTTTTGAAAAGGGATGATGTGTTTTTGTGCCAGGTGTTTATAATTTAATCTTTTAATAATATTATGTTCATTAACCTCTTAAACTGAGTGGAATCTCAATTGTTTTAACGCCGTACCTAAGACTGATGCTTTCTGTGGCCACCACTGAGCTCCCTCAGCCCCCACCCTCTGGGACTGGCGGCCCTTGGTCCCGTCACTGCTGTGGGTGTGCCCTACGGAGTAAGAGGACAGTCCTCTGAGGCGGGGTCCTTGTCTGCGGGGGAATGGTGGCCTTGCCTCTCAACGGTCTTCACTGTGTGTTTTAAGATGATAACAACACAACACAAAACTCCTTTGACCTGTAACTTAAAAATCATAAATTTCAGGCAATATTTTCTGTGTAAGCTTTTAAAATTATTTTTGGGGATCATAGCTTGTTTTATTTTGTGCTATAAAATTAACAGTATTAAATGACTTATATTCTTAGAATACATGGAGTGTCTTTTCTTGCCAGATCAGTGCCTTTTTATTTTTGTATTCCATTTTACGTTTCTGGTCCCGGCGTCAGACCCTTGTTCCCATGGCCTGTTTGTACGTTGTCTCAATAAAACTTGCATCAGCTGGTGGTGGCGCGGCTTGTGTTTCGGTGTCTCCTCAGTGCTGCCTGGAGGCGCCCAGCCCCACCAGCCCGCTGGCAGTTCAGCACCTGGTGGGGACACCTTTGAGATGGTGGGCCTTGGCACAGCCACCCCCTCCTCCAGGCCCAGGGAGAGCTTGCATGTCCCCACTGTGGGCTCCCTGTCTGGTGCTCGAGCCTGGGTGATGGGCAGCCTTATCCCAGGTCAGGGCGTGAGGCCTGTCTGGCTTTCTCAAGCCCTCCTCTGTTCCTACATGTCTGTGGCCCTCCTGACTACTCTGGGGACCTGGACAGCTGGAGGTGTAGGGGGACCCACTAGTTTCCCTGCCACCCCTTGGCCAGAGCCATCCCCATACCTGCTGGTGTGTCCAGAGTTCTGTGGTTAAGCCCAGGAAGTGGGACCAGCCTGCAGCATGCTTGCTCCTCCTCTCAGGACTCTGCACAACTCAAGAGACGCTCCTCCTGGAAGAAACAGGCCTCAGAGACACCTTTGAAGAGTATTTTCAGCCTGAAAAGGTAAACTTTGTCAGCCACTCTGGGCTGGATTCCTCCGTGGGAAGAGCTTCTGGGAAATGGGGCTGGGCAGGGGCTGCCTCCCGGCTGGGTGGGCATCAGAGTCCAGTCCTGACACCCCCACAGTGACTTTGCATAACTGGCCCCTCTCTTGGCTTCCCAGCAGGAGTTCAAGGCCTGTGTCTGAAGTTGGGGCTGCAGAGTGGGGGCAGAGCCCACGCATCCCCCACCCATGCCTACTGCCCCAGGAGCACCATTGGACTTGCCCCTTGAGGTAGCCTGTAACCCTGCAGCCCAGCACTGAAGTGGAGTAAGGGGATGCAGTGAACCCTCCTCCAGGCCAATATACTGAAGGCAGCCCCGGGGAGCCTACTGCACAGGCTCAGGGGTCCGAGGGCGGCCAGGAACTGGAGCCCTCAGGGTGGGTGCTCGAAACTGCCCAGCGGCCAAGTCCGGCACACGGGTGGGTCTGCCCAGTAGCTGTGTGGAGGGCAAGGCCAAGAGGAGGGGGACCAAGCCCCCTGCCTGCCCTCTGAGGGGCCCACCGACATAGTCCAAGGAGTTGGGGAATTAGGCTTTGACATCAGAGTTGAAGGAAAAACACCAATGTCCAGCGGAAGGTCTCCCCTACCCTGTCCACTCCATTCCCCAGCCTCCCTGTTGATTATGTGGCTTACTCTCCAAACTACAAGCAAATACTCTTCTTCAATGTGTTCTCTACAGAAAACTATTCACATATCAGAGCCTGGGGACAGACCAGAACTCAACACACCAGCCACTTGGGGAGGGTGGAGGCTGGGCTGAACAGCTTTGCGGGAGCTGGCTGTGCAGTGTTGGAGGACCCCAGAGAACCAGAGGTCGGGCTGTGTAGACTAGCCTGGGAGGCCAGGAGGCTGGGATGAGGTAACAAAAGCAGCCAGGGAGTCCTGCAACCTGAGGGCCCCCACTCTCTGCTTCCAGAAGAACAAACTGGTGTGGCTGAGGGAACCATCCCCGCCCATCTGGCCTCAGCTCAGACGTTGGCTGTGCCGTATCAGCGTCCCAACATTTCCTGGGGACCAGTTAGTCACACCGAGGGCTCCCCCTCTGAAAATCCACTTAAGTCTTCTGCCCCCAGAACCCAAAGCTCAGGGCGGGCCCTGCTGACCCTCAGACTGGCCTCCAAGGGGCGCCAATGTTGACCCCATGTTAGAGGTTGCTGCTCTCCCTTTCCCACCCAACCTGCCCGGCAGGCTTGGAGACCCCAGGCTAAGAAGAGAGGGAACGGGTAGATGACAGAAGAAAGGGACAGGCTTGCATGGTTGGGGGGCCCAGGGATCACCCCTGCTTCTCACCTCAGCCTTTGGGGTGTCTGTTGGGTCTGGGGGGGCCCTCAGCCACCCTTGCCAACTCACTGCATCTCAACCTGGGGCTCAATTTCCCCCTTTGCTTTTGCCCCACAGGGTCTGTCAGGGCCACTCTGTTGGGTGCCACTGCGTGGCCAGAATCAGGACCTCAGGCAGCCCAAGGCTCAGAGGCGTCCTAAATCTGTTTCCCTGGACCCCCGCATCCATGCGCACCACCCTGAGCCTGGCACCTCGTGAGGCCGCACACCCGGCTACCTTCATTTTAGCTTTTGCTCCACAAGGATTTTGTCACTTCTGTCCCCACCGTGGGGCAGCCAGAGCCTTGGGTCCACACCCAGGGTCCAGGCATCTCCCCCGGTCGTTGGCCTCCTCCCAGCCCCGACACTGACCTGTCCCCCCCAGAATCATCTCTAGCATCCCCCACCCCACACCCTGAGCACCCTGTGTCCTGTGCTGGCTCCACACCTATCAGGGTGCCCTGGGGGCAGCCCTGGCTGGAGGGCCCTGTAGTTACTCCCACGACTCCCGCAAAATTGGGCAGAAGCGGGTCACTGACCCAAAAAGATCACAGACCAGGACTGGAACTTTGCACTGGAGACCCTGCATCCTTGGCCAAGCCTGGCAGGCCTCTCCCCTCCCACTCCCCGCCCTCTGCTTCATAAGCACAGCATAGCCCAGCCGGCCAGGAGCCAAGTCTCCACTCTGCCACTCACCAGCAGTGTGGCCCTGGGGAGCTCCCCGCCTTGCTGAGCCCTCGTTTCCCCATCTGTAGAGGGAGGTGATGCAGGCTTTCGTGAAGAGTAAGGAAACAGATGCGTGCGAAGCGTGAGAAGCGTGTGAAGCCACAGCTGTGGCCATTGCTGAGGCACACCGTCTTCCTGGCTGGGGGGCCGGGGAGAGGGGTGGCTGCAAGGTCAGCACCTCTGTGGAGCAGGGGCGGCTTGTTGAAGGCCCGGGGCACCAGGCCTGAGCAACAGCATCTGCCCAGTGACAGGGCCTCTGCTGTAGAAGGGGCAGCAGCTGCACGGTGGAAACCAAGTGTGGCCACAGAGGGATGGACTGAGCAGAGCCGCCCATCCTCCAGGCCTGGGCCCCACACCTGCCTGCACGAGGGTGCCCCTGCAGGCCCTGCTCCTGTCCAGCCCTGGGTGCAGCCAGACTCCGTGAGCTCCCCCATCTGTAAAATCAAGGGAGTTGTGCCACCCCCAGGGATGCCACTGTCTTTGTCATCCTTACCGGAGGGGAGGGGAGCAAGGCCCAGAAAGGGAAGACAGCAAAAAAGAGGGCCCCGCCCCAGCCACCAAGGGAGAGATGGGACAGCAGTCAGGGGACCTGTGTGTTTAGTGACAGATGAGATACCGCTTCCCTGGACCGTGTCCTTCATTCATTTCCCACATAGTCACCGGGTTCCAGATTGCTGGAAGGACAAGTCCTCCCTGACCACAATGCAAAGATCTGGACGGTCAGCACAGCGAAACCCTGAGGGGCCAGGATCCAGAAACAGGCAGGGCCTGATCCAGTCCAGGCAGGCTGCTCAGGGAGGTTCCCTGGAGGAGGGCACGCAACAGGGGGATGCACCCTGATTTATGGAGACACAGGAAGCTCTCCTGATACAATGACAGGCAGAAAAAAGGAAACGCAATAAATGTAATTTAAGGTAGACCGTTCTGTGCATGGGGAGAGGAGGGGGGGGGGCTGAACGCCAAACTGGTCAAAGTGTCATGGGCAGTCTTTTGGGTTTTCTGTCTTGGGGATGTTTCTGCAGGTGATTCAACTTCCCCTACTTGCCGCACGGATGGTTCCAAGACTTA